TAGTTAGCTAATTAGCAAATTATTTGATGTCAACATTAATTAGTTAATTACTGATAAAACTGACCAAAAGTCTAAGATTATGGCCAATCCCACACCACCAGAAACACCCTTCAGTCCTCTAGGGCTCTTCAGTCTTGGCCTTCTTGGACTTGGGCTCAGCATCTGATGATGGTGGATCTGATGCTGCTTCATCATTCTGCTCAGAGTCACCAAAGACCTGAGAGTCATCATCCTGCTGAGAGTCACCAAAGACCTGAGAGTCATCATCCTGCTGAGAGTCACCAAAGACCTGAGAGTCATCAGCATGCTGAGAGTCCTCAGTGACCTGCTGGGGCATCCTGCTGAGCACTTTGTCCCTGATCTCAGCAAGCTCCTCCTTGATCACATCAGCCCTGAGGTTCTCAATGTTCTGGCAATGCTGGACCCACTGATGCTGCCTGACCTCCACAAGTGCCAGCATGTTGAGCAGCTCAGCCTTGCACTTGATGAGGTTGAATCCATTTCCCTGAGACTGTCCACTGAGGGAGGCATGCACCTTGTGCAGCTCATCAAGGGAAGACCTGAGGTCCTGATGCTCCCCCATGTCGATCTCATGCCTACTGAGGAAGATAAGAGCATCCTGAGGTGTAATGCCAAGATCTGAGATGAACTTAAGGAGCTGTCCCTCTTCCTGAGTAGTAAGCTTCCCCATTGCCATGGCTGAAAAAGTTAGTGCAGTGGAACTGAGCTAAGGTTCTACTGGCTGTGTTTGATCCTTCACAAGCTCAAAAATCAACCTGAACCATTGCAAAGAAGCTGAGAGGTTGCATACAAGTTCAATCTAAGCCATAACTCATGACACCAAATCAAAGTTGAACATATTGTGATTAATTAATGAACAGTTAGTTATAGAAATGGTTGGTTCCTTCAGCTGAGTTCAACCTTAGTCATTGAAACCTTACCCAGACCCACCACTTTCCCAAACATTTTCTGGCAATGCCTTTTGCTGATAGTGCTATGCTGATGCATACTGAGCCTTGCTCAGGACAAAGTTGGAAACAACTGAGAAGCTAGCTGAGGTAGAAGATGATGTAGCTCACAGTCTGAGGTTCTACTTCATAGTGAGTCTCACTATGAAGTAGAACCTCAGTGCCTTGGCTTCTCCTTCTCCTCAGCACTGAAGATGCTCACAACTAAGAAGGATGATGTAGTCACCAGGTACTCCACTTTCTCAGGATGCTGATGTCCTGTCAGGGACAAAAAGCTGAGAGCAAAGCATACAACTATTTGACACTAATCTCAGTGTATAGTGTTCATTGAATAATTAATCAGATAAATAAGTAACTACCAATCAATATGTGTTAAACAAATTGACTAATTAATTATGCAATCAAATAATTCCAACAATTAACCTGCAGAAGAAGCCTCCACATCCCTTCAGATCTGCACACCTTTTTCCTTCATTCAAGCTGTATGGATTGCTTCTGAAAGCAAATTTAAAAAGGACACTGAGATTTCACTCAGTGATGTTCCATCTGCCTGAGGCAGCTACTTATCCTCATCATTCTGAGATTTTTGTTTCTTAGCTGGAGGACTGAGCAAATAGACAGCCCTGTCCCTTGGGATCTGGTACTTCTCTATGAAATCTTCAAGTTTCTGAGTCATGAAAGCATCCTGAGCCTCCTGAGCCTCCCTCTCAGCTTTTTCAGCCTCCTGCTGAGCCTCCTCCTCAGCTAGTACTGCCTCTTTCATTAAAACCATGTTCTCATGGGTTCCTTGGAAAGCAATGATGCTGTTTGAAATCTCCTGAGACACATCTTCCATCAAGCTGAGATCAGTCTTCAGTCTGGCCACAGTCCTTTCCTGCATTTTCTGAGCTTGTTCCATCAATTCTATGCATTCTTGGAGCTCATCCATGTGAACTAACAGGTCCTCCAGAAGTTGATCATTCATGGAAGCATCTGAGAGAAGCAGAGCCATTGCTGAGCACCTACCCCCAGGATCCATCTGCTGGAGCTGGCTGAAGTAGTATGCTCCACCACTATGACACTCACTGGCCTGAGGTGGATCAGCTGGCCTTGCCTTAGGCATCACTGGTGTGCCTAGAGGCTCAGGAGGACGCTGAGAAGATGAAGGCCTAGAAGCAGAAGGATCTTCCATGAACTGAGCCTTACCATAATCTGCCTTCACTGACTTAGACCATGGCAATGGATCCATGCTGAGAATCCTGGTGTAGTACCACTGGATCACCCACTGAGGCCATCCATCTGAGCCCTCAATGCAAGCTGCTTTGAATGAAACAAAAAAAGTAGACTGTAATTGATCAATTAATTCATGATGTTACCAAGTAATGAATTGCTCAATTAATTAATTAATTGGCTAATTGATTAATTAATTAATTATATGATTAATGTTGTTTACTTAGTTTTGAACTGTCACTGAGGTACTTGTAATTAGCAGTAATACTTTAGTTCAAAGCACATAAAAATCAGGAACAAAAAACAGGTAAACAAAAATAACATTATTCTAAGTCCACCCAGGAACTCTGCATTTGCCACATCCTGACTGCCAAGGAATTCTGCTGAGAAAAATGTCAGCTCCACAGGAACCACAGGCAACCTTAGGCTCATCCAAGTACCTGGGGTACTTGACCATAACCTCCTTATCCTGATTCTGGAACAGCTCAGAGATGTAAGGTCTCTTAGGATCACATGGTTGCACCAACTGAGCATGCTTTCCATTCTCTGATCTATACACCATTCCAGCAGGAATAGTGCTAAGGAGTTGCTGAGATACCCAGGGCCCATGTCTGCCCTCAGCATCCTTTTTTCCTGAGCCTTGGGCAGCTGTCTTCTGCTGCCAAGGGTGATTCTGCTGAGTTGAACTCATGGCTTGCAAGAAGTGCAGCTGAGTTGGTGGAAATCACACTGAGATCAAAGCAGCTGAGGAATCACATAGACATGCATAATTCAACACCATGCAAGCAAAATATCTAGTTGACTAATTCATTTATTACAATTATATATAATGAATCAATAAATATATACTTATTGAATATGATGCATGTGCAAGTAATTATAAGAAACTTACACATGCATAAGCATGCATTACTGATCAAGATTGCCACAAGTCTGAGGCCATGGTCAAGCTGAGCACCAATCCTACCCCACCAGAAACACCCTTCAGTCCTCTGGAGCTAAGTGATCTCATGGTGCTGAGTGATTCCAGCATGCTCTTCAGCAGCACCATTGCTGAGAAAATCAACACAGTTGGATCTGAGCCTTCACAAGCTTTGGTATATAACATCAAAACTAAGTAAAGATTTTCCAAAGGATGAGTTTCAGCCAACCAAAAAAAAACATGAATGATCATGATACAAAATAGTATGGTTTGTTTGGGGGTACACTATTGTGTCCAGCTGCTTCCTGATGTGTTTTTTTAACATTCTCTTTACCTTTTCCTTTGCTATTATTTTTTATTTTCTCAATTAGTTTCTTTTATTTACAATTCTCAGAAATGCTCAATTTCTCAAAATATATGATGCCTTATTAAAACCCAATTAAAAAACATGACTCAAACAATTTTTCAAGAGGGTAGTCCATGAGCAACCCTGATACACAATAGTGTGGTTTGTTTGGGGGTACACTATTGTGTCCAGCTGCTTCCTGAGGTGATTGTTTTTTTTCCAACCATTTCCTTTTCTTTTTCCTTTGCTAAAGTTTGTTTCCTTTTACTTAGCTTCATTTTTCTTGGATTCAAAACCAAAGGCTTTCCAAAGGATTAGTTTCAGCCAAGCAAAAAAAAAACATGAATGATCATGATACACAATAGTATGGTTTGTTTGAGGGTACACTATTGTGTCCAGCTGCTTCCTGAGGTGATTTTGTTTTTTAACATTCCCTTTACATTTTCCTTTGCTAAAGTTTATGTCTTTTATTTTCTCAATTAGTTTCTTTTATTTAGAATTCTCAGAAATGCCTAATTTCCCAAAATATATGATGCCTTATTAAAATCCAATTAAAAAACATGACGCAAACAATTTTTCAAGAGGGTAGTCCATGAGCAACCCTGATACACAATAGTATGGTTTGTTTGAGGGTACACTATTGTGTCCAGCTGCTTCCTGAGGTTATATTTTTTTTCAAGCATTTCCTTTCCCTTTTCCTTTACTAAAGTTTGTTTCCTTTTACTTAGCTTCATTCTTCTTGGAATCAAAACCAAAGGCTTTCCAAAGGATTAGTTTCAGCCAAGCAAAAAAAAACATGAATGATCCTGATACACAATAGTATGGTTTGTTTGAGGGTACACTATTGTGTCCAGCTTCTTCCTGAGGTGAAAAAAACAATCATCCATCCAAGTAATTATTTTAAAGAATATCAAATCTAAATTGATTCACATCTGCTAAATTCAATCTTAGTCCATGCTGCTAAGTTCAATCTCAGTAATTAATTAATTATCTTAGTGCTTGCAACTCTACCCAACCCCATCACTTTCCCAGCCATCTTTTGCCAGTGTGTCCTGCTGATAGTCACATGCTGAGACATTCAAAAATCATTAAGCCTTGCTTAGCTCAATGTAAAAGAAAATCACTCAAGCTTGCTGAAGACCTTAATGCTGAGTGAGGTAGGCAGAATGCTGAGGTCCTGTCAGGGACAAGAAACTGATAGCAAAACTGAAAGACCCATTATTTGACACTAAACTCAGTGATGTTAATGTCCAACATTACCCATTACTTATGCTAAAGTAATCAATTAATTAACTAAATAATTGATTAATTATTGATTCATTAATTAGTTAATTAAGTAATTAACTAATTAAAATATTAATTAATCAATTAATTATTCTAAACTGCAACAACAACCAGCAGCAGTGGCAAAACCACCCACATCACTTCAGAGCTGCACTCATTTTTTTCTGCCAGCTAAGAAATTCTTCACAATGCCTCTGGTATAATTACTCAGGAAGTGACTAAGGCTTCTAATTGACTATATATCTGCTCAGCAGTCATGCACCTGAGTTAATTATACATCCACAACTTCCTTCACTGAGTCCTGAGGCTTGTGATCAATCTGAGGAGACTTTTGCATCAGCTGCCTGAGATCTAGTTCACTCATTTGATGAGTTTCCATGAACTTTCTCAGAGCGTCCTTATTCACAAGATCCTGAGACAGCTTCTGCTCCCAGTAGGACTGAGATCTTTTCACTGAGAGTTGAAGCTCAGCATGCAAAGCCCTGAGCTCACCTTGCTCCTCTTCCATGTTCTTAGCATCTTTCCTGAGCCTAAGCATTGTGAGCTCCTGAGATTCAAGTGCCTGCTCAAGTAGAAGAATCTTGGACTTCATGTCCTCAATCAGGTCAGGTACATTGTCCAAGTCACTGAGCTTCTGATCTGATTCTGAGTTGTCCAGGAGCTTGTCAATCTCATTGATGTTCAGCTTTTGGAGCTCAGACTTGACATAGCCCTGAGCATCATTGGCAGTCCTGATAGGCTGAGGCTTCCAAACTGAGCTTCTCTGCATATTTGATAAAGCAGCATCCTGATGAGGTCTGCCTGAGCCCTTCCCTGTTGATGAAGAAGCAGTTGCTGCTGAGAATCCAGCTGGTGGATCAGGCTCAGGAGGCTTGAACTGAGCTTGTCTGAACTGAGGAGCTACAAATGCACCCCAAGGCAATGGGTCCATTCTGAGCACCTCAGTGTAATATCTTTGAACCACTTCCTGAGACCAGCCATTGTGTTCCTGCAGGGTTGCAAATGGTGTCCATGAAAAAAATGACAACTATATCAGTTAATTAATGCTCATTGTCCTATGCTAAAACACACAAACACACACCAACAAAAAAAAATCATCCATTTGTTCAACCCAGGCACAGAGCATTCTCTACATCCTGATTGCCAGGGAATTCTGCTGAGGAAGACTTGATGGCCATTGCCACAGTCAACCTTAGGCTCCCAAAGGTATCTAGGATACTCCACAATGTTTTCTGAGTCCATGTTGTTGAAGAGTGCTAAGCATGAGGGTTCCTGAGGTGGATCATTGGGCTGAAGCTGGTAGCGCCCTTGGCCACCCTTCTGAGTCCACAAAACCTTGTCAGGCACCTCATCAGGCTTCTCTTCAAACATAGGATGAGGTTTGCCTGAGCCTCTCCCATGATAGTCAAAGAAAGACATAGCTGAGATGATATGGAGCAAAGGTTGATTAGTCCTGGCCCTTAGATTTGAGCCTTAAAAAGCTGAGGAATCACATAGACATGCACAAATATGAACATGCTACAACTTCATTGGTTAATTAATTAGCTAATTACTCAATTATAAGAAACTTAAACATGCATAAGCATGCTAATTAATTAATTAATTGATTAATTAATTAATTAATTAATCAAAATTGCCAAAAGTCTAAGATTATGTCCAAGCTGAGCACTAATCCCACACCACCAGAAACACCCTTCAGTCCTCTAGGGCTCTTCAGTCTTGGCCTTCTTGGACTTGGGCTCAGCATCTGAGGATGGATCTGATGCTGAATCATCACTGCTCATAGGCTGAGAGTCTAGGACCTGAGAATCATCAACCAGCTCCTGGGACCCAAAGGGTGTACCTGATGGTGCTTCATCATCACTCCCCATAGGCTGAGAGTCTAAGACCTGAGAGTCCTTAGCCACCTCCATCACCTCATGGTCAGGCTGTGCATTCAACTCCTTTTCCATATCCTGAAACTTGCTGAGGGTAGCATCAAATGTATCAGACTTAGCAGGTTGGGCAGGCTGGGCAGGCTGAGGAAGAGGGATACACTCTGATGGCCAACCATCCTGAGCATCCTGAAGAGCTGTCTTGAGAATCCTAATCCATTGCCCCTGAGTGATCTTTGGGTAACCCTTGAAGTCTTTGAAGATCTGACTGAGTTCATTCCTGAAACTGAGCATCACCCAATCAGGCACAGCATCAGGATCCTCAAGCTGAACCAACTGCTGAGTGTAGTACTTCTGCAGCATGTCCACAAACTGTTCCTGAGAGCACCTGAGCTTCACCTTGATGTCAGCCATCTCAGCTGTCAGAGCCACCACCTTCATGGAGTTGCTTAAAGAACCACCCAAAAATAAAACTCATTAACTAATTCATTAATGGATTTCCCATTGGGAAACAAAAAAACAAATCCAAGCCTTAGGACTCAAAGAGAATTTCTCCAGAGTCAGGATATTCCTGAGGTTGGAAAACCATTCCACAAGATGATAATTGTACTCCTTCCTGAGCTTGTCCATCTCAGTGTTGAATTGCTCCATGGCTGAGCTGATGGGATGCAAAGAAGCTGGCTAGAATGGGCTTGAGCCTTCACAAGCAAAGAAATAAATCCCCCCATGTGAGATGAAAATGGATTGAAATCAAATGAAAAGCAATTCCTTTGTTAATTAATAAATTAAGTTGAAATCAATTCAAAGTAAAGTGAAAATCAATTGAAAAACAATTTAATTAAACAAATTGAAAATCAATCGAAATTAATTTGAAATCATTTGAAATCAATTGAACATCAGTTGAAAATGAATTGAAATCAATTGCAATCAAAACCAAAGGCTTTCCAAAGGATGAGTTTCAGCCAAGCAAAAAAAATATGAATGATCATGATACACAATAGTATGGTTTGTTTGAGGGTACACTATTGTGTCCAGCTGCTTCCTGAGGTTATGTTTTTTTTTTCAAGCATTTCCTTTCCCTTTTCCTTTGCTAAAGTTTGTTTCCTTTTACTTAGCTTCATCCTTCTTGGAATCAAAACCAAAGGCTTTCCAAAGGATCAGTTTTAGCCAAGCAAAAAAAACATGAATGATCCTGATACACAATAGTATGGTTTGTTTGAGGGTACACTATTGTGTCCAGCTGCTTCCTGAGGTGATGTTGTTTTTTAACATTCCCTTTGCATTTTCCTTTGCTAAAGCTTTTTTTTATTTTCTCAATTAGTTTCTTTTATTTAGAATTCTCAGAAATGCACAATTTCCCAAAATATATGATGCCTTATTAAAACCCAATTAAAAAACATGACTCAAACAATTTTTCAAGGGGGTAGTCCATGAGCAACCCTGATACACAATAGTGTGGTTTGTTTGGGGGTACACTATTGTGTCCAGCTGCTTCCTGAGGTGATGTTGTTTTTTAACATTCCCTTTGCATTTTCCTTTGCTAAAGCTTTTTTTTATTTTCTCAATTAGTTTCTTTTATTTAGAATTCTCAGAAATGCACAATTTCCCAAAATATATGATGCCTTATTAAAACCCAATTAAAAAACATGACTCAAACAATTTTTCAAGGGGGTAGTCCATGAGCAACCCTGATACACAATAGTGTGGTTTGTTTGGGGGTACACTATTGTGTCCAGCTGCTTCCTGAGGTGATTGTTTTTTTTTTCAATAATTTCCTTTTCCTTTTCCTTTGCTAAAGTTTGTTTCCTTTTACTTAGCTTCATTTTTCTTGGAATCAAAACCAAAGGCTTTCCAAAGGATTAGTTTCAGCCAAGCAAAAAAAAACATGAATGATCATGATACACAATAGTATGGTTTGTTTGAGGGTACACTATTGTGTCCAGCTGCTTCCTGAGGTGATTTTGTTTTTTAACATTTCCTTTACATTTTCCTTTGCTAAAGCTTTTTTTTATTTTCTCAATTAATTAGTTTCTTTTATTTAGAATTCTCAGAAATGCACAATTTCCCAAAATATATGATGCCTTATTAAAACCCAATTAAAAAACATGACTCAAACAATTTTTCAAGGGGGTAGTCCATGAGCAACCCTGATACACAATAGTGTGGTTTGTTTGGGGGTACACTATTGTGTCCAGCTGCTTCCTGAGGTGATTGTTTTTTTTTCAACCATTTCCTTTTCCTTTTCCTTTGCTAAAGTTTGTTTCCTTTTACTTAGCTTCATTTTTCTTGGAATCAAAACCAAAGGCTTTCCAAAGGATTAGTTTCAGCCAAGCAAAAAAAAAACATGAATGATCATGATACACAATAGTATGGTTTGTTTGAGGGTACACTATTGTGTCCAGCTGCTTCCTGAGGTGATTTTGTTTTTTAACAGTTCCTTTACAATTCATGGAAATTGGGACCCAGGCGCCTGAAAAGAGCACCCCAGGCGTAACGGAGGCATAAACGAAGAGGAAGGTGGTGCCTCCAATACCTGGAGCCGTTGAGTGCCCAATCAACCAGCAAAGTGGCCACATATGGTGTATATATAATATTTGTATACATATGTATGTATGTCTGTGTGTATGTATGAATGAATGTATGTATGCATGGTTGTATGTATATGAAAGAATGTATGTATGCATGGTTGTATGTATGCATGGATGTATGTATGCATGGATGTATGTATGAATGGATGTATGCATGGTTGTATGTATGAATGAATGGATGTATGCATGGTTGTATGTATGCATGGATGTATGTATGCATGGATGTATGTATGAATGGATGTATGCATGGTTGTATGTATGCATGGATGTATGTATGTCTGTGTGTATGTATGAAAGAATGGATGTATGTATGAATGAATGGATGTGTGCATGGATGTATGTATGCATGGATGTATGTATGTCTGTGTGTATATATCAAGGAATGTATGTATGCATGGTTGTATGTATGCATGGATGTATGTATGCATGGATGTATGTATAAATGGATGTATGTATGCCTGTGTGTATGTATGAATGAATGGATGTATGTATGCCTGTGTGTATGTATGAATGAATGGATGTATGCATGGTTGTATGTATGCATGGATGTATGTATGCATGGATGTATGTATAAATGGATGTATGCATGGTTGTATGTATGAATGAATGGATGTATGCATGGTTGTATGTATGCATGGATGTATGTATGTCTGTGTGTATGTATGAAATAATGGATGTATGCATGGTTGTTTGTATGAATGAATGGATGTATGCATGGATGTATGTATGCATGGATGTATGTATGCATGAATGTATGTATGAATGAATGTATGCATGGTTGTATGTATGCATGGATGCATGAATGAATGGATGTATGCATGGTTGTATGTATGCATGGATGTATGTATGCGTGGTTGTATGTATGCATGGAAGTATGTATGCATGGATGCATGTATGAATGAATGTATGCATGGTTGTATGTATGAATGAATGTATGCATGGTTGTATGTATGCATGAATGTATGTATGAATGAATGTATGCATGGTTGTATGTATGCATGGATGCATGAATGAATGGATGTATGCATGGTTGTATGTATGCATGGATGTATGTATCTCTGTGTGTATGTATGAATGAATGGATGTATGCATGCTTGTATGTATGCATGGATGTATGTATGCATGGTTGTATGTATGCATGGATGTATGTATGCATGGATGCATGTATGAATGAATGTATGCATGGTTGTATGTATGCATGGCTGTATGCATGCATGGTTGTATGTGTGCATGGAAGTATGTATGCATGGTTGTATGTATGCATGGATGTATGTATTCATGGATGGATGTATGAATAAACGTATGTATGCATGGATGTATGTATGCATGGATGTATGTATGCGTGGTTGTATGTATGCATGGATGTATGTATGCATGGATGCATGTATGAATGAATGTATGCATGGTTGTATGTATGCATGGCTGTATGCATGCATGGTTGTATGTATGCATGGATGTATATGTATGTATGCATGGTTGTATGTATGCATGCATGGATGTATGGGAGTTGCCACACTTGTAGAAAGGAAGTTGAGGAGTACGAAAATACGGTTGTTTACCGTACCCTGGTGTTCCACAATTCCTGTTTCCTCAGAACGTTGGGAAAACAAACTTACTCTCAACTTACTCCTAACGTGTTTTTGTCGTTCCATAATTCTTGTTGTGTTCCATAATTGCGGTTTTCCCTCATATTTCTCACATTTACCAATTCTGTTCTAAAATTGCATGTTCTATAATGAAATTTGCAATCATTCCGTTCTATGATTCTGGTTTCTGTGTACATTGTTCCGGGGTCCCAGAAAGATACATAGAATGATGTAAATACATGTTGTGTGAAGGGAAGTTGAGGAGCACAAATTAATCATAGAACAGCCAAAAATAATTATAGAACAGGATCCGAAGCTGAAAAAACCATTGAAGCTGGCTGAGGTAGAACATGATGTAGATCATGCTGAGATCCTGTCAGGGACAAAATGCTGAAAGCAAAACATTCAACTGTTTGGCACTAATTAATCTCATTGCATATTGTTCATTTAATACTTACTCAAAAAAAGTAAGTAACTACACATCATTGTGTGTTAAACAAATTGACTATGCAGTCAAATGCATCCAACAATTAACATACTTAATTACTGTAGAAGCCCTCCACATCCCTTCAGAGCTGCACACTTTTTTCCTTAGCTTGAAGCTGCATGGATTGCTTGTGATAGCAAATTTTAAAAAAGACACTGAGATTTTACTCAGTGATGCTGATGCTTTCAGTCAGCTGCCTTGCTCTTATCAGAATGCTCCTCAGCATCTTCTTGCTGCTCACTGCTCTTAGAAGGCTGAGAATCTCCCTGAGTTTCCTGTTGTTTCTCCTCCAAAACTTGAATAATCTGATCATCAGTGAGTTTAAGCTTTTTTCTGATCTGATCAAATTTGAGTGCTAAGTCAATTTTTTCCTGATCCTCAGATTGGATGCTGCTGCTTCCTGAGCTATTCTTCTTCTTCTCTTCCTCTTTCTGAGCCATGCATTTGATGAGCTTCTGCTTAGCATCATCAAACTTGATCTTAGTCTCATGCCACTGTTTCATGAGGACCTCCATGAGCTCAATGTCTTTTTTGAGCTTCTGAGCAGTTGCATACTGAGCATCCTCAGCTTCAGTGATGGTTTGGCTGAGCAAGGTGAAATCCTCATGGTAATCACTGAGAGCCAACCAATTTCCAGTCTTCTCAGCTTTGGCCACCTCCTCATTCAAGATATCTATCTGCCTCTGAGCATCACCCTTCTGTATCTCATTGATGCAGAAGGTTTCCATGCAACTGAGGTCTGAGGTTGTAGAAGCAGCAGGAGATGGCCTCTCAGGCCTGACCTCCTGTGCCATGAACTGAGCAACACCATACTCTGCATCCACTGAGTTGGCCCATGGCAAAGGATTCATGCTGAGGATATGGCTGTAGTAGGCCTGAATCACATACTTAGGCCACCCAACTGAGTCCTGACTGCCAACTGCTTTGAATGAAACAACAAAGTAAACTGTAATTGATTGTAATTATCAAGTAATTAACCAAGTATTTTTTTTTAAATTAATTGACTAATATGTGTATATAATTGGTGGTTTTAATTGTCACTGAGGTACTTTTTGACTTCCTGAACACTCAAAAAATATTGAAAAAACATGAAATGATGCTAAGCCAACCCAGGATCATGACATTCTCTGCAGCCAGATTGCCATGGGATCCTGCTGAGCATCACCTTGTGGCCTCCTGGACATCTGATGTTTGGCTCTCTGAGGTACCTGGGGTAGACCACAATGTCTTCCTCAGCATGGTCCAACTCAATGCCCCCAAAGATTTCTGAGAGCCTGATCTCTTCTGGCTCATCAGGAATAAGCTGAGCATGTCTTGGACCACCCTCACAAGTGAATCTGGTGTTGGCTGGGATGGTGTCTAAGACTTTGCTGTAAACTGAGGGGCCTTTTCTGCCCTTCATAGCTCTGCCTTCTTGAATGATAGATCCTAAGGTGGGGTCTCTGCTGGAGAAGGCTGGGGCATGGATTCTGCCTGTTTCTGAGTGCTTGCCTTTGCCCCAGCTTGTGCTATAGCCTGGGTCTTTGCCATGGCCTTTGCCTTTGCCTGAGTCTTTGCCATAGCCTTTCTCTTTTCCTGAGTCTTTGCCATAGCCTTTCTCTTTTCCTGAGTCTTTGCCATAGCCTTTCTCTTTTCCTGAGTCTTTGCCATAGCCTTTCTCTTTTCCTGAGTCTTTGCCAAAGCCTTTGCCATAATAGCCTTGGTCTTTGCCTGAGTCTTTGCCTGAGTCTTTGCACCACGATTTGCCTGAGCCTTTGCCCCTAGGCAAAATCAAGCCATCTTCATCTTGGCCACCCATGGCTTGCAAGAAGTGCAGCTGAGTTGGCAGAAATCACACTGAGATCAAAGCAGCTGAGGAATCACATAGACATGCACATATAAAAATGCTACAATTTCATTTGTTAATTAATCAATTAGTTAGCTAATTAGCAAATTATTTGATGTCAACATTAATTAGTTAATTACTGATAAAACTGACCAAAAGTCTAAGATTATGGCCAATCCCACACCACCAGAAACACCCTTCAGTCCTCTAGGGCTCTTCAGTCTTGGCCTTCTTGGACTTGGGCTCAGCATCTGATGATGGTGGATCTGATGCTGCTTCATCATTCTGCTCAGAGTCACCAAAGACCTGAGAGTCATCATCCTGCTGAGAGTCACCAAAGACCTGAGAGTCATCATCCTGCTGAGAGTCACCAAAGACCTGAGAGTCATCAGCATGCTGAGAGTCCTCAGTGACCTGCTGGGGCATCCTGCTGAGCACTTTGTCCCTGATCTCAGCAAGCTCCTCCTTGATCACATCAGCCCTGAGGTTCTCAATGTTCTGGCAATGCTGGACCCACTGATGCTGCCTGACCTCCACAAGTGCCAGCATGTTGAGCAGCTCAGCCTTGCACTTGATGAGGTTGAATCCATTTCCCTGAGACTGTCCACTGAGGGAGGCATGCACCTTGTGCAGCTCATCAAGGGAAGACCTGAGGTCCTGATGCTCCCCCATGTCGATCTCATGCCTACTGAGGAAGATAAGAGCATCCTGAGGTGTAATGCCAAGATCTGAGATGAACTTAAGGAGCTGTCCCTCTTCCTGAGTAGTAAGCTTCCCCATTGCCATGGCTGAAAAAGTTAGTGCAGTGGAACTGAGCTAAGGTTCTACTGGCTGTGTTTGATCCTTCACAAGCTCAAAAATCAACCTGAACCATTGCAAAGAAGCTGAGAGGTTGCATACAAGTTCAATCTAAGCCATAACTCATGACACCAAATCAAAGTTGAACATATTGTGATTAATTAATGAACAGTTAGTTATAGAAATGGTTGGTTCCTTCAGCTGAGTTCAACCTTAGTCATTGAAACCTTACCCAGACCCACCACTTTCCCAAACATTTTCTGGCAATGCCTTTTGCTGATAGTGCTATGCTGATGCATACTGAGCCTTGCTCAGGACAAAGTTGGAAACAACTGAGAAGCTAGCTGAGGTAGAAGATGATGTAGCTCACAGTCTGAGGTTCTACTTCATAGTGAGTCTCACTATGAAGTAGAACCTCAGTGCCTTGGCTTCTCCTTCTCCTCAGCACTGAAGATGCTCACAACTAAGAAGGATGATGTAGTCACCAGGTACTCCACTTTCTCAGGATGCTGATGTCCTGTCAGGGGCAAAAAGCTGAGAGCAAAGCATACAACTATTTGACACTAATCTCAGTGTATAGTGTTCATTGAATAATTAATCAGATAAATAAGTAACTACCAATCAATATGTGTTAAACAAATTGACTAATTAATTATGCAATCAAATAATTCCAACAATTAACCTGCAGAAGAAGCCTCCACATCCCTTCAGATCTGCACACCTTTTTCCTTCATTCAAGCTGTATGGATTGCTTCTGAAAGCAAATTTAAAAAGGACACTGAGATTTCACTCAGTGATGTTCCATCTGCCTGAGGCAGCTACTTATCCTCATCATTCTGAGATTTTTGTTTCTTAGCTGGAGGACTGAGCAAATAGACAGCCCTGTCCCTTGGGATCTGGTACTTCTCTATGAAATCTTCAAGTTTCTGAGTCATGAAAGCATCCTGAGCCTCCTGAGCCTCCCTCTCAGCTTTTTCAGCCTCCTGCTGAGCCTCCTCCTCAGCTAGTACTGCCTCTTTCATTAAAACCATGTTCTCATGGGTTCCTTGGAAAGCAATGATGCTGTTTGAAATCTCCTGAGACACATCTTCCATCAAGCTGAGATCAGTCTTCAGTCTGGCCACAGTCCTTTCCTGCATTTTCTGAGCTTGTTCCATCAATTCTATGCATTCTTGGAGCTCATCCATGTGAACTAACAGGTCCTCCAGAGGTTGCTCATTCATGGAAGCATCTGAGAGAAGCAGAGCCATTGCTGAGCACCTACCCCCAGGATCCATCTGCTGGAGCTGGCTGAAGTAGTATGCTTCACCACTATGACACTCACTGGCCTGAGGTGGATCAGCTGGCCTTGCCTTAGGCATCACTGGTGTGCCTAGAGGCTCAGGAGGACGCTGAGAAGATGAAGGCCTAGAAGCAGAAGGATCTTCCATGAACTGAGCCTTACCATAATCTGCCTTCACTGACTTAGCCCATGGCAATGGATCCATGCTGAGAATCCTGGTGTAGTACCACTGGATCACCCACTGAGGCCATCCATCTGAGCCCTCAATGCAAGCTGCTTTGAATGAAAAAAAAAAGTAGACTGTAATTGATCAATTAATTCATGATGTTACCAAGTAATGAATTGCTCAATTAATTAATTAATTGGCTAATTGATTAATTAATTAATTATATGATTAATGTTGTTTACTTAGTTTTGAACTGTCACTGAGGTACTTGTAATTAGCAGTAATACTTTAGTTCAAAGCACATAAAAATCAGGAACAAAAAACAGGTAAACAAAAATAACATTATTCTAAGTCCACCCAGGAACTCTGCATTTGCCACATCCTGACTGCCAAGGAATTCTGCTGAGAAAAATGTCAGCTCCACAGGAACCACAGGCAACCTTAGGCTCATCCAAGTACCTGGGGTACTTGACCATAACCTCCTTATCCTGATTCTGGAACAGCTCAGAGATGTAAGGTCTCTTAGGATCACATGGTTGCACCAACTGAGCATGCTTTCCATTCTCTGATCTATACACCATTCCACCAGGAATAGTGCTAAGGAGTTGCTGAGGTACCCAGGGCCCATATCTGCCCTCAGCATCCTTTTTTCCTGAGCCTTGGGCAGCTGTCTTCTGCTGCCAAGGGTGATTCTGCTGACTAGCAGCAGTGTTGAACTCATGGCTTGCAGAAGTGCAGCTGAGTTGGTGGAAATCACACTGAGATCAAAGCAGCTGAGGAATCACATAGACATGCATAATTCAACACCATGCAAGCAAAATATCTAGTTGACTAATTCATTTATTACAATTATATATAATGAATCAATAAATATATAGTTATTGAATATGATGCATGTGCAAGTAATTATAAGAAACTTACACATGCATAAGCATGCATTACTGATCAAGATTGCCACAAGTCTGAGGCCATGGTCAAGCTGAGCACCAATCCTACCCCACCACAAACACCCTTCAGTCCTCTGGAGCTAAGTGATCTCATGGTGCTGAGTGATTCCAGCATGCTCTTCAGCAGCACCATTGCTGAGAAAATCAACACAGTTGGATCTGAGCCTTCACAAGCTTTGGTATATAACATCAAAACTAAGTAAAGATTTTCCAAAGGATGAGTTTCAGCCAACCAAAAAAAAACATGAATGATCATGATACAAAATAGTATGGTTTGTTTGGGGGTACACTATTGTGTCCAGCTGCTTCCTGATGTGTTTTTTTTTAACATTCTCTTTACCTTTTCCTTTGCTATTATTTTTTATTTTCTCAATTAGTTTCTTTTATTTACAATTCTCAGAAATGCTCAATTTCTCAAAATATATGATGCCTTATTAAAACCCAATGAAAAAACATGACTCAAACAATTTTTCAAGAGGGTAGTCCATGAGCAACCCTGATACACAATAGTGTGGTTTGTTTGGGGGTACACTATTGTGTCCAGCTGCTTCCTGAGGTGATTGTTTTTTTTTTCAACCATTTCCTTTTCTTTTTCCTTTGCTAAAGTTTGTTTCCTTTTACTTAGCTTCATTTTTCTTGGATTCAAAACCAAAGGCTTTCCAAAGGATTAGTTTCAGCCAAGCAAAAAAAAACATGAATGATCATGATACACAATAGTATGGTTTGTTTGAGGGTACACTATTGTGTCCAGCTGCTTCCTGAGGTGATTTTGTTTTTTAACATTCCCTTTACATTTTCCTTTGCTAAAGTTTATGTCTTTTATTTTCTCAATTAGTTTCTTTTATTTAGAATTCTCAGAAATGCCTAATTTCCCAAAATATATGATGCCTTATTAAAACCCAATTAAAAAACATGACTCAAACAATTTTTCAAGAGGGTAGTCCATGAGCAACCCTGATACACAATAGTATGGTTTGTTTGAGGGTACACTATTGTGTCCAGCTGCTTCCTGAGGTTATATTTTTTTTCAAGCATTTCCTTTCCCTTTTCCTTTACTAAAGTTTGTTTCCTTTTACTTAGCTTCATTCTTCTTGGAATCAAAACCAAAGGCTTTCCAAAGGATTAGTTTCAGCCAAGCAAAAAAAACATGAATGATCCTGATACACAATAGTATGGTTTGTTTGAGGGTACACTATTGTGTCCAGCTGCTTCCTGAGGTGAAAAAAGCAATCATCCATCCAAGTAATTATTTTAAAGAATATCAAATCTAAATTGATTCACATCTGCTAAATTCAATCTTAGTCCATGCTGCTAAGTTCAATCTCAGTAATTAATTAATTATCTTAGTGCTTGCAACTCTACCCAACCCCATCACTTTCCCAGCCATCTTTTGCCAGTGTGTCCTGCTGATAGTCACATGCTGAGACATTCAAAAATCATTAAGCCTTGCTTAGCTCAATGTAAAAGAAAATCACTCAAGCTTGCTGAAGACCTTAATGCTGAGTGAGGTAGGCAGAATGCTGAGGTCCTGTCAGGGACAAGAAACTGATAGCAAAACTGAAAGACCCATTATTTGACACTAAACTCAGTGATGTTAATGTCCAACATTACCCATTACTTATGCTAAAGTAATCAATTAATTAACTAAATAATTGATTAATTATTGATTCATTAATTAGTTAATTAAGTAATTAACCAATTAAAATATTAATTAATCAATTAATTATTCTAAACTGCAACAACAACCAGCAGCAGTGGCAAAACCACCCACATCACTTCAGAGCTGCACTCATTTTTTTCTGCCAGCTAAGAAATTCTTCACAGTGCCTCTGGTATAATTACTCAGGAAGTGACTAAGGCTTCTAATTAACTATATATTTGCTCAGCAGTCATGCACCTGAGTTAATTATACATCCACAACTTCCTTCACTGAGTCCTGAGGCTTGTGATCAATCTGAGGAGACTTTTGCATCAGCTGCCTGAGATCTAGTTCACTCATTTGATGAGTTTCCATGAACTTTCTCAGAGCTTCCTTATTCAGAAGATCCTGAGACAGCTTCTGCTCCCAGTAGGACTGAGATCTTTTCACTGAGAGTTGAAGCTCAGCATGCAAAGCCCTGAGCTCACCTTGCTCCTCTTCCATGTTCTTAGCATGTTGCCTGAGCCTAAGCATTGTGAGCTCCTGAGATTCAAGTGCCTGCTCAAGTAGAAGAATCTTGGACTTCATGTCCTCAATCAGGTCAGGTACATTGTCCAAGTCACTGGGCTTCTGATCTGATTCTGAGCTGTCCAGGAGCTTGTCAATCTCATTGATGTTCAGCTTTTGGAGCTCAGACTTGACATAGCCCTGAGCATCATTGGCAGTCCTGATAGGCTGAGGCTTCCAAACTGAGCTTCTCTGCATATTTGATAAAGCAGCATCTAGCACATTGAAGGGCTGATGAGGTCTGCCTGAGCCCTTCCCTGTTGATGAAGAAGCAGTTGCTGCTGAGAATCCAGCTGGTGGATCAGGCTCAGGAGGCTTGAACTGAGCTTGTCTGAACTGAGGAGCTACAAATGCACCCCAAGGCAATGGGTCCATTCTGAGCACCTCAGTGTAATATCTTTGAACCACTTCCTGAGACCAGCCATTGTGTTCCTGCAGGGTTGCAAATGGTGTCCATGAAAAAAATGACAACTATATCAGTTAATTAATGCTCATTGCCCTATGCTAAAACACACAAACACACACCAACAAAAAAAAAATCATCCATTTGTTCAACCCAGGCACAGAGCATTCTCTACATCCTGATTGCCAGGGAATTCTGCTGAGGAAGACTTGATGGCCATTGCCACAGTCAACCTTAGGCTCCCCAAGGTATCTAGGATACTCCACAATGTTTTCTGAGTCCATGTTGTTGAAGAGTGCTAAGCATGAGGGTTCCTGAGGTGGATCATTGGGCTGAAGCTGGTAGCGCCCTTTGCCACCCTTCTGAGTCCACAAAACCTTGTCAGGCACCTCAGCAGGCTTCTCTTCAAACATAGGATGAGGTTTGCCTGAGCCTCTCCCATGATAGTCAAAGAAAGACATAGCTGAGATGATATGGAGCAAAGGTTGATTAGTCCTGGCCCTTAGATTTGAGCCTTAAAAAGCTGAGGAATCACATAGACATGCACAAATATGAACATGCTACAACTTCATTGGTTAATTAATTAGCTAATTACTCAATTATAAGAAACTTAAACATGCATAAGCATGCTAATTAATTAATTGATTAATTAATTAATTAATCAAAATTGCCAAAAGTCTAAGATTATGTCCAAGCTGAGCACTAATCCCACACCACCAGAAACACCCTTCAGTCCTCTAGGGCTCTTCAGTCTTGGCCTTCTTGGACTTGGGCTCAGCATCTGAGGATGGATCTGATGCTGAATCATCACTGCTCATAGGCTGAGAGTCTAAGACCTGAGAATCATCAACCAGCTCCTGGGACCCAAAGGGTGTATCTGATGGTGCTTCATCATCACTCCCCATAGGCTGAGAGTCTAAGACCTGAGAGTCCTTAGCCACCTCCATCACCTCATGGTCAGGCTGTGCATTCAACTCCTTTTCCATATCCTGAAACTTGCTGAGGGTAGCATCAAATGTATCAGACTTAGCAGGTTGGGCAGGCTGGGCAGGCTGAGGAAGAGGGATACACTCTGATGGCCAACCATCCTGAGCATCCTGAAGAGCTGTCTTGAGAATCCTAATCCATTGCCCCTGAGTGATCTTTGGGTAACCCTTGAAGTCTTTGAAGATCTGACTGAGTTCATTCCTGAAACTGAGCATCACCCAATCAGGCACAGCATCAGGATCCTCAAGCTGAACCAACTGCTGAGTGTAGTACTTCTGCAGCATGTCCACAAACTGTTCCTGAGAGCACCTGAGCTTCACCTTGATGTCAGCCATCTCAGCTGTCAGAGCCACCACCTTCATGGAGTTGCTTAAAGAACCACCCAAAAATAAAACTCATTAACTAATTCATTAATGGATTTCCCATTGGGAAACAAAAAAACAAATCCAAGCCTTAGGACTCAAAGAGAATTTCTCCAGAGTCAGGATATTCCTGAGGTTGGAAAACCATTCCACAAGATGATAATTGTAGTCCTTCCTGAGCTTGTCCATCTCAGTGTTGAATTGCTCCATGGCTGAGCTGATGGGATGCAAAGAAGCTGGCTAGAATGGGCTTGAGCCTTCACAAGCAAAGAAATAAATCCCCCCATGTGAGATGAAAATGGATTGAAATCAAATGAAAAGCAATTCCTTTGTTAATTAATAAATTAAGTTGAAATCAATTCAAAGTAAAGTGAAAATCAATTGAAAAACAATTTAATTAAACAAATTGAAAATCAATCGAAATTAATTTGAAATCATTTGAAATCAATTGAACATCAGTTGAAAATGAATTGAAATCAATTGCAATCAAAACCAAAGGCTTTCCAAAGGATGAGTTTCAGCCAAGCAAAAAAAACATGAATGATCATGATACACAATAGTATGGTTTGTTTGAGGGTACACTATTGTGTCCAGCTGCTTCCTGAGGTTATGTTTTTTTTCAAGCATTTCCTTTCCCTTTTCATTTACTAAAGTTTGTTTCCTTTTACTTAGCTTCATCCTTCTTGGAATCAAAACCAAAGGCTTTCCAAAGGATCAGTTTTAGCCAAGCAAAAAAAACATGAATGATCCTGATACACAATAGTATGGTTTGTTTGAGGGTACACTATTGTGTCCAGCTGCTTCCTGAGGTGATGTTGTTTTTTAACATTCCCTTTGCATTTTCCTTTGCTAAAGCTTTTTTTTTTATTTTCTCAATTAGTTTCTTTTATTTAGAATTCTCAGAAATGCACAATTTCCCAAAATATATGATGCCTTATTAAAACCCAATTAAAAAACATGACTCAAACAATTTTTCAAGGGGGTAGTCCATGAGCAACCCTGATACACAATAGTGTGGTTTGTTTGGGGGTACACTATTGTGTCCAGCTGCTTCCTGAGGTGATTGTTTTTTTTTTCAACCATTTCCTTTTCCTTTTCCTTTGCTAAAGTTTGTTTCCTTTTACTTAGCTTCATTTTTCTTGGAATCAAAACCAAAGGCTTTCCAAAGGATTAGTTTCAGCCAAGCAAAAAAAAACATGAATGATCATGATACACAATAGTATGGTTTGTTTGAGGGTACACTATTGTGTCCAGCTGCTTCCTGAGGTGATTTTTTTTTAAACATTTCCTTTACATTTTCCTTTGCTAAAGTTTTTTTTTTATTTTCTCAATTAATTAGTTTCTTTTATTTAGAATTCTCAGAAATGCACAATTTCCCAAAATATATGATGCCTTATTAAAACCCAATTAAAAAACATGACTCAAACAATTTTTCAAGGGGGTAGTCCATGAGCAACCCTGATACACAATAGTGTGGTTTGTTTGGGGGTACACTATTGTGTCCAGCTGCTTCCTGAGGTGGTTGTTTTTTTTTCAACCATTTCCTTTTCCTTTTCCTTTGCTAAAGTTTGTTTCCTTTTACTTAGCTTCATTTTTCTTGGAATCAAAACCAAAGGCTTTCCAAAGGATTAGTTTCAGCCAAGCAAAAAAAAACATGAATGATCATGATACACAATAGTATGGTTTGTTTGAGGGTACACTATTGTGTCCAGCTGCTTCCTGAGGTGATTTTGTTTTTTAACATTTCCTTTACATTTTCCTTTGCTAAAGCTTTTTTTTATTTTCTCAATTAATTAGTTTCTTTTATTTAGAATTCTCAGAAATGCACAATTTCCCAAAATATATGATGCCTTATTAAAACCCAATTAAAAAACATGACTCAAACAATTTTTCAAGGGGGTAGTCCATGAGCAACCCTGATACACAATAGTGTGGTTTGTTTGGGGGTACACTATTGTGTCCAGCTGCTTCCTGAGGTGGTTGTTTTTTTTTTCAACCATTTCCTTTTCCTTTTCCTTTGCTAAAGTTTGTTTCCTTTTACTTAGCTTCATTTTTCTTGGAATCAAAACCAAAGGCTTTCCAAAGGATTAGTTTCAGCCAAGCAAAAAAAAAATGAATGATCATGATACGCAATAGTATGGTTTGTTTGAGGGTACACTATTGTGTCCAGCTGCTTTCCTGGGTCATGATTTTTTTGATTTTTTCAATCATTTCCTTTACCTTTTCCTTTGCTAGCTAAAGTATTTTCCTTTCAATTAATTTCTTTCTTAATTTCTTTCATTTGAAATGCTCAGAATGACCAGTTTCCCAAAATATATGATGCCTTATTAAAATCCAATTAACAAACATCACTCAAACAATTTTTCAAGGGTGTAGTCCATGAGCAACCCTGATATACAATAGTGTGGTTTGTTTGGGGGTACACTATTGTGTCCAGCTACTTCCTGAGGTTATGTTTTTTTTTGATTTTTTCAATTATTTCCTCTACCTTTTCTTTTGCTAGCTAAAATATTTTCCTTTCAATTAATTCCTTTCTTAATTTCTTTCATTTGAAATTTTCAGAAATGATCAGTTTCCCAAAATATATGACGCCTTATTAAAACCCAATTAAAAAACATCATTCAAACAATTTTTCAAGAAGGTAGTCCATGAGCAACCCTGATACACAATAGTGTGGTTTGTTTGGGGGTACACTATTGTGTCCAGCTGCTTCCTGAGGTTATGTTTTTTTTGATTTTTTCAATTATTTCCTTTACCTTTTCTTTTGTTAGTTAAAGTGTTTTCCTTTCAATTAATTTCTTTCTTAGTGTCTTTCATTTGAAATTCTCAGAATGACCAATTTCCCAAAATATATGATGCCTTATTAAAATCTAATTAAAAAACATCACCCAAACAATTTTTCAAGATGGTAGTCCATGAGCAACCCTGATACACAATAGTGTGGTTTGTTTGGGGGTACACTATTGTGTCCAGCTACTTCCTGGGGTTATGTTTTTTGATTTTTTCAATTATTTCCTTTACCTTTTCTTTTGCTAGCTAAAGCGTTTTCCTTTCAATTAATTTTTTTCTTAGTTTCTTTCATTTGAAATTCTCAGAAATGACAAGTTTCCCAAAATATAGTGTGGTTTGTTTGAGGGTACACTATTGTGACCAGCTGCTTCCTGAAGAGATTTTCTAGCACTGACTCAATTATATCAGAATGAAAGTGAAAGCCACTGAGTTTTTATCAGTGCAAAGCTGCAAATCATTCACTCTCAGTAGAGCTTCAGGCAGGAGCAGCTGATGTTGCTGAGGTAAATGCAGCTGAGCTCGAGGAAATAGGTTCTAAAGATGAGCTTGCTGAGATAGCTAGGGTGGCTGACTTGAGCAGTTGCTGAAGATCCTCAGGCCCTGTGCTGAGAAAGGGCAACTTCTTGGCCTTGGCAGCCCCTGAGTGCAGGTGGTACCTGAGGCATTTGTAGGCATCACAGCTCAGGCAGCCTGATTGCCATCTGCACTTAGAACATTTTCCCAAGGCATGCTCCAGGAGCCTGACCTTGTGAACTGATTCCTCAGAGAGGTTTTTCCAGGTGAACCTCACTGAGTTCTTGTCCAGCTGCTGCTGAGCAGTAATGTAGGCAACTGAGGTGATGTCCTTGAGCTTAGAAAGCTTTACCTTAGCTTTTTCTTGTTGCTCAGCAATCTTAGCCCTCTCAAGTAGAAATTTATCCCATCTGATCTTGGCAGCATCAGTGATAAGTTTTTGCTCAGCAATGACCTTGTTGCAAGCAATCTCCAACCTCTGCTTCCAGTTCTTCCACCCTGTCTCAGGCCAAACTGAGAGCCACTCTCCTCTGAAAAGCCTGATTTCTTCCTCCATGTAGTGAAGCACATAGCAGCCACAGGCATTGCTGCCCACAGGCTGCTCGGCAGAGTTGCTGAGTGGTGGAAGGATGAACTGAGGGTCAAGCAAGTTCCCCATGAGGATCTGCTGAGGATGAGATTCTTCATGCTCTTTGCTGAGGGAGTCATACCTCCTCCAAGTGATGGGTTGCCCAGTGCCTTCCCTCTGAGCTACCAGCAAAGTCCAGTGAAACTGAGAATACACTGGAACCAGAAGAAGCCTGGTGCTCTCAGTCCAGCTGAGCTGCAAGCCTTGCTTCAAGCCATCCAGGTGCTCTGAGTCCTCAGTCTCAAGAATCATCTTGCTCAGGATGGGATCAATACAATGCACCCCAATTTCCTCTGGCTGAGGGACATTAGCCTTCTTGAAGCACCAGCTGAGAAGACACCAGCCAAACCAAAGGTGCTGATCCTCCATCTCAGGTATGTTGGCAGGGCATGGCAACACTGAGTGAGTGGACCATTCCTCAGGGCCCATGCCAAGCTGATCATCAGGGTTGCAGCTCAGTTGGGACAGCCATAACTTGAGGTCATTCTTGCTGAGCTGGCTCCACTTAGGCCACTGAACTCTTGCAACAAAAGGCTTAGAGCTTTTGAGTTGCAGCCACTCAGGCTTAATCTGAAAGACTCCTGAGGTAGTGACCATGGTGTAGAAGCCTTTATCACCTTTGAAAGTGATCTTGCCTTCCTTGCCAAAGTGAAGCTTGCCTGCAGCATCTGAGGTGACAACAGCTTCCTGCATCAGAAGGGGGTCATCAGAATTTGGTGCTTCCTGAGGAGCCTCAGCAGGAGGAGGCAAAGGTGGTGGTGCCTTAGTTGCTTCCTCCTCACAAGTCTTCTTGAGCTCAGCATCTGAGATGGCTTGCTTCTGCTCCTCAGTTTTCTTAGCAGCTTTCTTCAAGGCTTTGAACTTAGCTGAGGGCTTGTTTTTGGCTGAGTGCTTGTTCTTCAAAGACTGTTTGAAGGCAAGGCTGAGCTTTTTCTTGCCTTGCTTCTGCTTCACCTCAGGCACCATCTCTGAGAAAGCTTCTTGTCTGCTTTGGGAGCCAATTTTCTCAGATGCCTGTGCCACAATCTTCTGCATGTGTTTTCTGAGCCACTTGTTTGCATGTCTCGCCCTGAGCCTCTTAGCCACATCTCTTTCCTTCTTTGCTTGGTACTCAGCTGTGCCCATTCTTCTGAATTGAGCTCTTCTGAGGGCAGGATGGATTCTCAGGGACAAGGAGTTCTGAAGCTCTAGCTCCAAGTCATCAGCAATGGCATCCTCTATCTCAGGCTTCTTCTCCTCTTCATCTAACTCTTTGTCATCCTCAGGATGCCAATAATCC